TGCGATAGATGAAGAAAAGAAAAAAGAAGGATTGAATATGCTTGTGATGTCGAGATGGTGATTAAATTAATTCAGCAATAATTAAGCATTAAAATATCATGAGATAACTATTGAAATACTAATTCTTAAGTAAAAATCGATTTAAATAATTATTAAAAAAGAATTAACGATTATCCTAAGGTTAAACGATTGAAATTAGATTTAGATTGTTTAACAACATGTAAACATCTGTTTGCAATTCGACTTTTTTTTTCATATGAATATTTATTCATATACTCTCTCTTTAATTTGAATCAAAACTCATTTGAATAAAATCATTATTTGAGGTATTTATTAATATAAATTCTATCTTATTCCTTTTTTTTTATTTGTTCTCTATCGATCATAATCATCATCATCGTTTCAATAGAAGACAAGTGAAGACTAGCAGCATCACGTGCATTCTTCAACGGACACTGCCTCTTACGGAATATTGACAAGTAATTTTATTTAAATAAACAGACAAAAATAAAATATTCCATATCAATCGAAAAAGAAGTTTATTCTTTTTATTAATCGAACGATAATCTTGAATCTATTTCTTTAAATTGATTTTTCTAACGAGAGTATCGATAATAAATTCTTCTCTATTTTTAAATGAAACTCCAATTCTATTGATTTAAAAAGAATGAAATTCTTTCCTTGAGCAATCGTGTTATTATTCGTAGTTATTATCAAATAAAATCTTTTATTCTAAGTTTCTTGTTACATTTATTTCTTCTCTTTAAATATTATAAATCTTTTCAATTTCAGTTACAAATAAATTTATTACAGCACAATCATGTACGTGAAAAAGATAAATAAATCAAACATAGAACAATGATTGATCTATAAAAATGTTTTGTAAATTGTTTAGGACGAATACAGACAAGCTATTTATTTATTCTTCATCAGATGAAATTCATTATCATATTAATAAAGACCACTTCGATTTTGAACGATCTAAAATCAAATAAAATTATTTGAATATTTTATTTTCATATACAGAATTATTTCACTTTAATCTTGAACAAGACATGTATTGTAAATATAGTTAATATGATCAGATTACACAGACATAAAATAACTAACAAAAGAAAAAGAGAAGAATTTGAATAAAAAAAACCAAAAGATTTATTTTTTTTTCAAGAACTTATCTTACTTATTATGTTGATTGACGATAAATTGAGATGGACGAAAAGAATAAACGAAGCAACTTCTTTTTTCAATTGGAATCTGATTATCTGAACAAAGAAAAAATGATGTAATATTCATTAATATTGATCTTTATAATAAAAGATAAAAAAAAATAATACAATAAACAGTATTATTGATTTTTGAATTATTTGAATAATGATGACAAGATGAAAAGTTTTATCTACTAAAAAATAAATAAAGAAACATAGAAAGACTTTTAAAAAGTTTCTTTTTGTCTTCATATAAACATTAATATCGACGATTTTATCATTTCCCTTGAGTACACTGATCATAAGAAAACAAACTCAATTTTAAATAGACATTTAAATTCAATCTAAATTCAATTGAGTTGAATCAAATGATAATAAAACAAAAGGGTCAGGATCAGTTTTTTGTGTTTGCAAACACCATAACCAACACCTTTCTGAAACCTGACAAATCATAAAAAAATAAAATGCATAAAGTACAGCAGAAAGAGCAAAAAATAATAATTAAAGAGCGAAAAAGTTTATCGTATCCTTAGTAATTTGTTTTTTTTTAATAAACCAACTTAATGGATGTAATTTTAATTGTAACACGAAGTAAACGAAAAGAAGAAGGAGCAAGAAAGACAAAGGGAAGGAAAAAATTTGCTATCTATGAAAAGATTTTTTTTCTCTTTTTTGACATTCGGCCCGGAGGAAGATATGTCAATAAAAAGATTTTTTTTCTCTTTTTTTTCCTATTATTCACATTTTTTACATCATTCTGGTGTGTGAAATTAGAAAAGTACTGTCCGTTTCTAAATATAGTGCGCATCACTGTTTTTTAAATAACTCAAGAACGCAACGAGCTAGTGACCTGCGCTTTTCACCAATCGATAGATGAGACAGAGGGACGTCTTTGTCTCAGATAATGTATCAGGCAAAATCCATTTAAAACTACTCATCTTTGAAAGACATGGAAAATTTTGCTTGATCAGACGTTGCTCGTACAATAACTAATTGTAGATGAGCAGCTATTCCTCGTAACCAGCGTGTTTTAGGTGTACCTCTTTTTTTCGGGAAATATTGCGCATCATCAAGATGAAGCAACAGGTGAAGATTTCTGAAAAAACCATCGCCTGTTTTTGGCCGATTAGGTCGAAGACCGTATGTTTTTTTGGTCAAAGTGGGAAATGGAGTTGTGTTAGTTTCATTTCAGATACATTGATAATTCTTTTATTTCGTCGTCAATCATCAGTCTTCATTTGATTTGAAGGTTTATTAGCATTTATTGATTTCTGAAAAAAATTCAGGTATCCCATATCTTCCTGATGTTTAATAATTCCAAGGTTTTTTTAATTATGTTTCGAGGATTCCAAAGGTTGAAAATGTAGGGAGAAATATTGAAGTGCAATGTTTGATTTGAAATAAAAAATTTTTCGTATTTTTTATCTGATAATTCTTTCAATTCAATCTATATTCTTTTCTCTCGAAACTTTTTGTCCGATGAAGGTTAAATATATAGATTAATTGGAAACAATAAATCAATTTAGTTGAGCACTTATACAAAACCAGAAAAAGATTGTGAACCTAAATTAACTCTAGTAGTACCAAGTGGGTCATTTTTGACCCATACTTAAAAATTTGAAAATACAGTGGAAATATTTTGTTTTTTTTTCTTTCCTTCATTCATCGCATACATTATGCGTGAACAGCCATACATATGTACGGTCGCGTATGTACATTGAAAAAGAAGAAGAGAGAGACAGAGAGAAGAAAAAAAAGATATTGTCGTGGATCTTGCTGGAGAATCTTTTTTTAAAAACTTTTGCTGGGGACTAGAGAGGACCCTTTTCTGAAAATTTCATCATACGCTCAGTTTTTCACGCTCTTTCTATTGATGTGATTTTTATCAACTCTGCACGAAATGAAAAATTTCGAACCAGTCAATATGTTCGTCAAAATGTCTCCCATTCATTTGCTCTTCGTCTAACATGTGTCTGTTGATTTAACAGAACGAAAAGTTTCTCTTGTGCTCTACTTGTATTTAGCCTCGAGACAACGATAGTCAAGAAATTAATCTGTGTTTATGGAATAACTAAACAAAATATTCAAAATGTGAATAATGATGGAAGTAGAATGATTAAATCGATATTTCTTTAGATCTGATTAGTTGACTTGTACGCATTACCTAATCAATGAATTTATTCCTATATTTTATTCCCATATTATGAAGCTAATTTTCACAACACACAAAACAAAAAAAGATAATGAGATAACTACATAACACATAATGATGACCATTTACACGGCACACAAAAACAAAAAAAAAATGAATGAGATAACTATACAATTGTGAACAAGATGACTTTTTCATCAAAACATTTTTTGTCCTTGTCTGAGATGAATCCATATGCCATTTTCTTTCCGATAATTGGCTTCAGGGTCCACTAAAATTATGCTTCCTTCATAGTCGTTCACGCAAACAATACATGGTTTATTGTTGATGATCTTTTTTTTACGCATGTATTTATCTATCACAAAGAAAATATCATATTTTAAGCAGGAATTAAGATAAAATCTCACTTGTTAGAGTTACTTCACCCGGAGCAATGAGGAGACCTTTCGTCATTGGTTCAATATCCTTCCAACGAATGTCGTCAAGTATGATGTATTCTACATCATCATGCCAGTCCTAAATAAAATTATTGCTTTCTTAATCAAATAAAATAATCATCAAACCGCAAGAGTTTAATTGATGACGAAGGTGTTATGTTTTCCTAGACTGCGTGCCTATGATGTTTTGCCTATATAAAATTTGAAAAAATCGAAAAAATTGAAAGAATTCAAAGTAGATACCGTGTTTAGTTGGTCCAACGATGAACAAATATTTTGGTCGAGTAATTCTTCCATCAATATGCATTCGAAAATCATTATTTAACCATTCCTCTATATTCTGTCGATGCTCATCAGGAATTCTATAACAAAACGAAGATTGCATGGAATATTTGTGGCGACTTTTTACTTAAATGATGATGGAGCATATACTGGTTTATATTCCATTGTTTTCTGCTTTTTGATCATTTGTAGCTCATAGTCAATATTGTCTCTTATTTGTTTGCCTCGTACTAAATATTCGAACTTAAGATTGTTTTTAACTATAGCAACAGCTAGAAAAAAAATATCCTTTAAAGAACATATACGTAAATAAATCATCAGACCGTCAGTAAAAGATTCTTGTTCAAAAACAGCAGCAGCAACATCTTCTTGCTTTTTACGATAATCATCGGTCGACGCAAATTTCTCTTTCTTAGCTGTATATATTGATGATTCAATGTATCTTCCGTTTGCTAATAATTTAATTTCATCATTGAATTGATCGCCATTTGTCACATGTAAGTAATCTGATATTTTCAGATCTATTGAATAAGATATTTAGATAGGATATGTTAGATTGCAATCTTTACCTTGGATAAGATAATTGAGAAATTTATGTTTGAAATTTACTTTTTTTGCAAAACAAAGATGTGCTGAAACGAGTTTTTCATTTGACGATTTCGATGTATCTAAAATTTACAATCTATTGATATGATTCATATTAACAAGAACATTACCCGCAACGCATAGATATTGAATTTTAGATGAATTTTCAATTGTTTGTAATTGAACCAATGGGTACTTTTGTTGCAATGGAAGTGAATACATCCATATAAGTCATAGATGTCGTAATATTTTTCAGAAAAAAATTTGATCGATTTAATCACTCATCATTTTCTTTGATGAAGCTTTCATCTTGAAAAGTTTTATTTCGTTTTTTGGTAGTTAATTTTCTGTTATAGTTGAGCCCAATGACAAAAGAAGATGATCCGATGCAACTTCACCAGGTAAAACATTCATTGATTCATCTGGTATTGTATCAGGTGAACGCTGTTGATTATTTGTTGTTGAATACAAAATGTTGATAGAATGGTCGATTGAAAGATGATTGACATATCCCGACATGTCTTGGTTTATTGATGTATTGCAGTCGATTATATGAGCTGGCGTTGATATAGCTATTGGATGGAACATGATCGTTGGTTCATCCAGAAATAATTATGTTTCTAAATTTCAGTCCAAAAGAAATTCTGTAGCAAATCCGAGACGAAAGTTGATTTGGACGAACATGAACATGCCGTACAGCTACATGTTGATGAACAGGCGTAAGAAGAGCATAATGATGCGCACGTGGTCGACGATGATTTGGCCGCATCAGTTTATCGATCAACATTCGAACTTGAACTAGAAGATACCATGTTTGATCTTGAATGAACATAGTACTATTCACATTAAACTGATTTAAATGTTTTTCTTACCTTGCTACTTCTCTTACGTTTGCATGTTCATGTTCAATTAAATGATCATAACAAAATTTGTAGGTGCAGTAACCACAAACGAAATCTACCACCCGATTAAAACAATAAGAGCTATTATTATATTTGAATTTGCAGTAATCAATGAATGGTTAAAAGAGAATGATGAACGTGTTTATAAACAATGAAATTATCGTCCACGCATGTGAATAATGAGGGGAAGACGTTCATACACTATTTGATCGAAAGAGATTTTTCTCATTAACTAATCAAATATTTCTTTCATTACATGAGAGTCCTAGCGTCCGTCTATGTTAAGGACGCTAGGACGCTGTTTACTAAGAAGAGATTTTTCTTACTAACTATTCAAATATTTCTTACATTATATAAAGCATCCTAGCGTCCGTCTATATTAGTGACGCTAGGACGCTGTTTACTAGGAAGAGAATTTTCTTACTAATTATTCAAATATTTCTGTCATTACCTGAAGCGTCCTGGTTTTCCGTTGACATTGAGGACGCCAGGACGCTGTTCATTATAGAGAGATTTTTATATTATCAATCGCAAAATAAATTCTTATTCATCAATTGAAGTCTTATCGACGTCTACGGAACACTTATTCCAAGTAATAAAAAAATTTTGATGTTAATACCTGTGCAGTGTTGATTGTAATAGTGTTAGACATCGTGAAAGTTTATTTTTATTTGTAATTCAGGTATGTATTTGTTGCTATCTAGAAACAGATACGAGAAAGTCAATGCAAAAGAAAAAACTGTCGGTAGAAATCTGTAGTTTCTGAGTAACTAATTATTAGTGTTATTGCTGAGTATACATATGAACTCAATAGTTGTTATACACTGCTAGTCAACTCATTCAAACGAGACTGAAATCAGAATGATAACCGAAGAGTCCATAAACAGCAGGTGTGTGTGTGGGTGGGTGTAGGGTGTGGGTGTCCTTTTCACCAACACACACACTCACGCACAAACCCACACCCACCCACATCCAGCCACAGCCACACTCCACACCCATATCCACCCACACCTACACCCCACACCGACACCCACACCCCAACTATTGAATAGTTGAATAGTCGCAAATTCGACTTTTCAACTTTTAAATAGTCGAATAGTTGAATAGTCGTAACGACTATTCGAGTTTTACATGTATGAATTCTTCAGCTGAAAAGAGTTCAAGTTCATCAAGGTTTTTGGATTTTCTTTTTTTCAATTGTGTCTTACGAACAACCAAATTTTACGTATATGTTTAAATTCATCATTTTGATGTTTTGACCAACGACGAACAATGTTACGAAAAAGTTGTACATGTATAATCATCATTTTTATGCTGTTTATCTCATTGTACACATCGGTTTTTTTCTTCGGGTTTTAACATATGAGAACTTTTTGGTAGAACATTTCTATAACTATATTCATGAAAATGACGACATATTGCTGATGTAAATACTGATGAATAATACGTTCTCGTTAAATTTTCTTTTATTTCATTGAAAGTTATCTCATTGTTTTATCGAATATATTGACCAACAGCTTTTTCTCTTTTTCACTGAGTACACGTGGTTGATCATTTTCGCCTCGATGTTTAGGTGAATTCGAGTTTTAAGTTGTCGATATTGTAATAGATAGTGCTCAGTAGGATATTTGTTTCACGATAAATAACGCTAGCAGATCGTATACCTTTTAGTTCAAAAATACAAAATTGAGATATAATGATTTTTCAAATGACTAGGTGATGTCATGATTTGATGATATATATGTATCTAACAGAAATGAAATCACACTGCTGCCCAGGACGAGCATTACGACAGTCGTAAACGATCGTATACGACGGCGTATCCGATCGTGCACGGTCGTATACGATGTAAATTACGATCGTATATGACCGTATTTCGCCATATTACTTGACGCCAGATTTACGACCGAATAACGTCGTGTCGTATACGCCGAAACACGACGTGTATACGACCACCGTAAACGATTGTACATAGTCGTATACTATGTGGATTGTCATCGTATTTCATTCAAAATTTTGCTACCTAGCGTCTCCCCTCCACACTTCCCAAAGATGAAAAAACTAATTCGTTAGGGTGTCAAGTCTCACTGGACATCTCTATTCAATTACATTTATACTTTACTATTTTATTTATTCTTTTCAATAATCTAAAAAAATTGAAAAATAAATTTATTTAATCTAAAAATAAAAAATAAACTTCATTTAATCTAAAAAATAAAGTATTAATTTATTTCACCTAAAAAATAAAAAATAAAATTTGTGTAATCTATAAATAGAAAATAAACTTCATTTAATCTAAAGTATAAAAAATAAATTTATTTCATCTAAAAAATAAAAACTAAAATTCATGTCACCTAAAAATAAAAAATAAAATTTATTTAATCTAAAAATAACAAACAAACTTTATTTAATCTAAAAAATAAAAGATAAATTTATTTAACCTAAAAAATAAAAGCTAAAATTTATTTATATCATCAATACAGAAAAATGAAAAATAATATTTTCTGTATAACCCATATGCAAAAATTAGAAATAAAGCAAACTGCTATCTATATCATCAATATATAAAAAAATAAATTAACAATCTGATTTTCTATATTATTGATATGGAAAAAAACCAATATAGAAAACAGTACTTTTGCTTTTTATTTTTCTATAACAATAGTATAGAAAATGGTTGATTTTATTCCTTACCTTTCTATGTTAATATTATAGAAAATCTTAAGTTTAATTTTTCATTTTCGATGCTGGTAATATAGAAAATATCAATTTTGATTTTGTATTTTTCTATATTAATAATATATAAAATCCTAAACTTTTTTTCTTATTTTTGAATATTAATTTTATAGAAAATCTTAATTTTAATATTTAATTCTTCTATATTAGTAATATATAAAATCCCATATGTAATTCCTTTTTCTATATTGATAATATAGATTACCCTTAGTTTTGTTTCTTATTTTTTTATTGTAATAATATAGAAAATATAAATTTTCATCTCTTTCTTTCTATTTTTATACTCTCAGTATAGAAAATCTCCTTCTTATTTTTTTAAATTTTTTAATAGTAATTATATAGAAAATCTTAATTTTATTTCTTAGTTTTCTTTATTAATAGTATAGAGAGGAAATTTCTTTATGCCAGACTTTTTGTGACTAATTGATTATGGATTTTATTATTTAATAATAATTTCCTTTGTCGGTACGTCTGTATTACGTTTATTAATTAGATTGTTCTTGCTTATGTGAAGTTAACTTGAATTAGAATAGTTAGATGCAGGGAGGGTGTAACGAATAAAGCATATTGTTACAGAAATCACTTATAATCTTACCTGACGATTTCAAAGAATCATACAAAATTTTATTGCCGGAGCATATAAGAAACTTGATGTAAGATTTGACATCAGATTTCTGAGACAGTAATTTTTCGTATGATTTTCCGTATGATCTCATATGATCATATACAATATTTCAGTAAGATCTGATAGAATCATACAAAAATTCATGACCGATCTTACTATTTGATTTCTCGACGTGGGAACTTACGACTAAGTTACGACTATATACGGTCGTATACTACAATCGTGCACGACAGTCGTTTATTTGCAACGTATATGTTGATCGTATTTGAACGTATGGCATTGTGTACGTCCATCGTATACGATCGTGCTTTTTCGACCTGGGTTGATTGGATTTCGCTGGCATTTGTGTCTATGACAAATTCTTCGTTCTTAAGGGGTTCTCAGAATGAGTGATCCTAGTGAGAAATGCTTTTAATAAAAAATTTCAGCTTGATATGTCGAATCAGAGCGAACGTCCGGCTTATTTATAGTCCGTTTATTATCTTTAGGAGAATCACTATAACTTCGTCACTGCAAGAGATACAGTTAATATATCAGATAGTTTAATTGTTGTTCTAAACTTCCGTTTAAAATAACTTTTGAATTTTACACATTTGAGTAAAATTAATCTTTGTACGTATACCAATGTCGACTAAACAAAGCAAAATTTATGTAATGAATCGAATAAAAACATATTTGTGCTGTGTAAATGACTCAATAATGCTTAAATCATATTATTATTCCTCCTAGCCATAAAGAAAAATTCGATTAACTTGATTTGAATAGTATCTATTCTAATTGTATTTCCAAGAATCGGAAAAAAAAGAATTTGATGTTCAAACGTTTTACTTCTTCTTAGACTGCTTTTTATTGTTTTTTTTTTTAAATCTGAAATCGTTTTGCTGCCTATGTGGATATCTCACTGGTTTTAAGAAAATCTCGAATTATTCGTCTTTTATTACTCGTGATCATATTGCTTAGCAACCAATATTTTAATTACTTTCAAATTAAATTTTTACTTCTCATCTATTAATTGATTTTCATAATTTAATAATAACAATAAATAAAAAATCTCCAATCGATATACATTTTTTTTTTTACTTATTTCCTATAGATGTCGCTTTTGCACATCTGTGCATTTGTGTACCGCCATTGTTTCCTGTTTGTAGACCTTCACTTATCATTCATTCATCTTGCCATGTTTCTATTGAAGTAGGAAAATGATGAAGAAAAATATGGAATAATCTTGAATATTAATTTTAGTAATTACGAAATTTTTTTCTTCGTTCTTTATAACGATTACTATTATAGAATTTACGTAATATAAATATTTTTTTGTTTTCTTT